AGAATACCATGGGAAGTGGAGTGTGTTTGCCGCGCGTGCATGAGACAGAGAGCCCGGGAAAGGTGAAAAGGGCTGAGAGTGAAAGAGACAGACAGGAACAAGAGAGAAAAATCGACCTCTAGAGAAAAGAGAGAAAGAGAGTCAGGAGGAGAGAGAACAGAGAGAGAGTGAAGAGAGGGAGAGATAGAGTGTAGAGAGAGAGAGAGAGAGAGAGAGAGAGAGAGAGAGAGAGAGAGAGAGAGAGAGAGAGGGGGGGAAAGGGGCGAGAAAGGAGGCAGACAAAGAAATACACAGAGGAATCATGTGAGACTATGTCGACAGCGCGCATTCACCTACGCGCCCGGCTATTTTTCCCCGGCTTTTAGGCCTTTATTAATAATTGATTCGATCTGTTACACAACACCTCACATGCCCACCTTCCCGTTAATAATAGAATCTCCCGTGACATTCGCCTCTGGACACATATTTCATACAGATTAATAAAAAACGGGGAAACGTAAAACCCAAACATTCCAGAAAAACACTAAAAACCCTGTAGCGAGGAGTTGTTGACTTTCCGCGCAAGCGTAAATCCTGCGGATAATGTTGTTCGATTAGGAGTCGACAGGGTGCAGCACTATAACCGTTGCCAGTGCAGCGCGTCTGTGCCTGCAAGGCAAAACCGCCATCGCTGACTTTCCAACGATTTTCCCGCGCAGGCGAGACACGGTAGGTTTATGGTGATGCCCTCGGGTATCCACCAACATTGACGCGGGCGGGAGGGGGGTCGCCCAGGAAACCTCATTCCCAACCAGCCTAACCGATATATGCAAGGGTGAAGAGACTGCATGCTTTCCGCATGCACCTATTACAAATTAATTTTCTGCTGCTGCTACTGCTACTGCTACTGCCACTGCTGATACTGCTGCTGCTGTTGCTGCTGCTACTGCTACTGCTGCTACTGCTACTGCTGCTACTGATACTGCTGTTGCTGCTGCTGCTGCTACTGCTGCAGCACGCATGTGATGATGCTATATAACTCGCGGGGAACACGCGGGGCGCGTCGTCATCGGCGGGTGATGGCTTCCCACGCGCGTGATCATGAGATGATGCTGCGTGCTCATCATGCTCACCGGAGAGAATGCGAGAGCGAACGTCGGGAGGAGAAGATATGGCGGGTATATACGCGGCCGCCGCATTTTCCGCTCTTACCTCGCCCCCGTGCCTTTCTTCTCTCGCATTCCTTTCCATCTAAACGTGCGATTTCACGTTCTTTCGCCTCGTTTGTTGAAAGTACAAGGAGAAGATAACTTGTATTTTATATGCGACATAAAGTACGGAATGATTACAGAGCGCTATACATACTAACCCATCCGTCATCGTGGGAGCAATTGATGGTGTGAATAAACATTGTCAATCGAATGTTGCTCCATTGTGTACTATATCTAGCAGGAATTATTCACGCACGTTACGCTGACAATTTATAAGAATAAAAGATCGATCGAATTTTATCCGCGGGAAAGTTTTGATCGAACTTTAAACACGTCAATGCAAAATTGCTTTGTGCGTTATAATTAAGCTTCCGATGTTATCGCAAAATATCGCGCCAACATCTACCTCGATTATAAGCAAATCTTACTAAAATCCCACTCATTTTTACAAGCAGAAGACGGCTAGGCAGGCTGGCATGATGTGAGAGGAAGGCGGGCAGACATGCAGGGATGGCATAGGGCGGACATGTATAGGTATAGGATGAAGGGAGATAATGAGATAGGAAAGAAGACCGGTAGATAGATATATAAACAAACAGACTGACAAACACACAGACAGCCACGCAGGCATGCATACCAGCCAGACACATACAAATGCAGACATATGTACCGACAGACAAAGCGACAGACCTCCAAACGACGGACGGACGGACAGACAGACAGGTCAACCGGCAGACAAACCGACCTATACAGAGAGACAGACGAGTGGGTCGACGCGAACTCTCTATACTCCGGCGCCTCGATCAGATGGATACGCGTGTGCGGCAGAAACGGAGGCAGCAGCGACAGCTAGCGCGTAGCTTAGCCGTCGATACAGATCGATGGCTGTCCGGGGCTGCAGCCGCCGCGGCCGCCCCGCGCCGCGACGCAGCGATGTCGCTCGGCTGCACGCGCACATGCGGGGATCAGGTCGTCATCTGCATAAGACGCGCAGCCGATGATGAGCACCGCTGCTGCTGTTTGCAGTGAAGCCGGCTGGGCTTCACACGCTCGCTGGTGGAGCGCGCGCTGCCCCGCCACGACGCCGAGCACGTTCGTAAGGCTCTCTCATTCTTCCCCCTCTCTCTCTTTCTCGCACTCGATTGGTTCCTCCTCTCTCTCTCTCTCTCCCCCTCTCTCTCTCTCT